GGGATACAGGGGAAAGGGGGAACGCCACACGGACTCTGGCGAGGGAACACATGTGCATGCAACATTCACACACTCTGGCCCCGCCTTCGAGATCCGCTGGATCTCTTGGGACGGGATTCGAACCCGCACAGCGCACCGCGACTGATCAGGAGACCGAAGAGTCTACTACTGCGGCCACCGCTGCTGCCTTTGTGTATCACCAGAGGTCATTAGTGCATGGTACTTCAGTGCTGGTACCATGCTGAGTACGTAGTACTCTGTGAATTACGATGAGACGCTTATGTGGTGGACAAACCATTTCACTTCGTAGAGGCGGACTCTGTCGTTCAGAGATGCCGGGAAACTGTGGTTTCCTGCGGCCGTACGTAGGGGCCGGTAGTACCGCGATTGTTGAACTACTCATACGTGCATAGTCACCTTTATTTTCGCACATTATTACTGGTCTGTTAGAGTGGGAACTTTAAGCACAACTAACTCGTTTAACACCAGACACCAGATGTATATAATGCAGCAAAAAAATGTCGGCAATATGTCTGTGTATATTTACGCGAAGCGACAGGGACAAAACCTAGTTATTTGTTTATAAGGAGTTCCGGAGTTATGCCGGGCCGCAGCGTGCATTGGAAGTGGGGAGTAATAAATCGGAATGACGTGTACGCCAACGCTCCGGCTCCGGAAAGTTGAAGTTGCATATACACCGGAATTCTATGCATTGGGTGGTTCCGGTTTCCTACAGTGCTGGCCGGGATGTAACCCAGTTTCCAACTTCGCACAAATGGGTCGATTCTACGAAATTTGAAAACCTGTATAAAACCGACTGTTTGAGTTAGAGGAGTTCCATGGAACAATATTTTGTCTTTCCGTTGACATTTTACAAAAATATTGATCAAATTTTTCCTGATTTTTTTTATTTCAACGAGATATCAGTAATTTGCTTCCAAAAAGTGTATTCTTTTACTTTTTTTCTGTCAGCTAAAACAAAGCTTACCTTACAATCTTCAGACGTACATTTTACGTCAAAACTGTGGCTAAGTGTGACATCGATCTGTTCTTAGAATGTGACTCTACTCATACATTGGAGGCTTGGAGTTATTAAGGTACAACCTTTAGTCTCTGACGTTGACACTTTCACCTTTGTTAATTGATCAGTTCGACTGAAATGGGCGGACCTTCGTTAGAAGGCGGAAGTTTAAATTTACAGAATATGAATCATTGTCACACTAGCCAGATATTTAGCAGTAATTTCCACAATAAAGAGATGGTACAACGAAACATAAAAATTCTGCTTTTGTATAAAAATGCTACACTGAAACAACTATGTCTCAAGTTATCACGTGAAACAATGCAAACAGTATTTTTGATGGTCTAGTACGCCTAGACGTTCCATGTACCATTTTTTGTATTACTTTTAGTTTTGAAAATTTTTGTGTTGAAAAACCGTGCATGAAAGTGATGTTTGGAGACCATTGTGTCAAAGGAACTTGGAGGAAATCTGAAAAAAGTACTGAAATAGTGAATTCTGTCTATTTCAATTTCTTAGTATTTACTCTAAAATCTCTATCTCTAACGTATAACTCCCATTTTAACTTATTGTATTCAAGTATCATTTTTGTACTTGAATCTACACATAGAATGCAATATTCGAATCATATTGCTTAAAACAATGTTATGCACTTATTGCAGGGAAAAATGGCGTCAAGTAGGTACGCTCTGCACTGTCCACTAAACACTGTCATCATTTAGAAAAAGTTATGTTCGGCATAGAAAAAAGTTAACGACGAATAAGCTTAACAAAGGAACTGAATGGACCAAGTCAGTTAATTAGGCCCATATAATTAGTTACCAATCGCCACCTATTTGACAACCTTGCGGTCTAGAAATCCGTCCTATCGATTATTTGTCGATGTTGAGATGTCAGATTCGATGGGTGAACCTCGTCGGCTGCCAGCTCGAGACAGGTTTCATTTCCTTTTGCATTGTATCATTCTAAGTCTGAAGGGCAAATGTATGTCAAATAGGTGCTTATTATTACCGGAATTCGAAGCATGTGAATATACCGACTCCAAATAATTAAGATATACCGTCCCCCACCACGTGCAACCCCACTCTTCCAATTGTTTACCCGACAAAAATGATCAAAACGTCCACGGCCTTCGAAAATGTATAAAACCGAAGTTTGACCTTTTTTTTTGTTTTTATCAATAACTACGGCGCCCCTTTATCGAATTTCAAAACCTACAAAGCTGTCCAGTTCTTATAATGTCCTTGTCCCTGTCGCAAGATTTCACTAAAATTCGAGCCGAGTTATAAGGGGCCAAGTATTAGCGGACAAGCTGACAATCTGACAGTTTTTTCGTAATATACATGTCACGTAACATTAAACAAATACAATAACTACATTCATTTTAGAAATTTTTCGTGATTGTAGTTCTTCTTTGACACTTAGCGTGCGTAGTATAAGTAAGTATACTCATTGGCATTAGAAGTGTTACCCCAGAAAAATAATTTCTTCATCTGACATTCTCACGAAATTTTATTGACAAGTAATAATAAAAAAAATAATGTGTTGGACGACTCCGCAGCTGAATACACTCCTGTATACGTCTGAGGTGATCGATGTCTGGTTATGGCACCTCATTCCAAGCAACTTGAACTTCGTGGATTAGCTGTGGCGGATGTGCGATCGTGTACGCATAGTAATAGGTCTACTTCTCCAAACCATTGGTCTGCGATCTGACGCGTAGTATCAAAACGCTCTGTGGTACGCCTCGGTGAATGAGTTGGCCTTCTTCCTGTTCCTGTACCTTCTTCTATCTACACATTACACACACGCATTACCGTCCATGCAGTACAATTAACACGGCGACCAATTTCGCGATAGGACAAACCAACATCTCGATAGGCAATAATTCTACCCCTGTCAAAGTCGTTAACATGGTGATAATTTGGACTTAGAACTCGAGACATTTTGTACTGCTTAACACTAGTAAAATGAAAGGACAATAACTAAAAATATCTGTACTACTCAGCTCTCAGAAACTGCTGTCTTCACAATAAAAGTAAACAAAAACAAAGAAAAAACGTTGACATTGTTGCCGCAGCATGCTTTAAACATAGTTGAAGACATTTTTTTTCTTGATGTAACACTTTTCATGTCACCGAGTATATTTTGTAGAGAAGCGCTCTATCCTGGATCCTAGGAAGCACGTGGTGTGCTTAATGCAGCTCCAGGAATAAATGGTATCCGGCGAACGAGCCACAAGGCGGGCAAGGCAAGCAAGCACAATGCACTCTGGGTGCACGATCCACTTTTCACTTGTCTCTATCGATTTTCCGCCACTGCCGAGCTGCTACTGCTGCTGCAGCTGCTCAGAGTGCTCAAGCGTCAGACCAACAACCAGCTACGGATGCGCCCAATAACACCGGGGGGTTTCTACGGAATTGATTGCACGGTTAATGTCCGATGTAAAGGGCGTAAAGGTCACGTTTCTTTATTTACTTGAAACATTTCGAGATTTTCATGTTTTTCAATGCCTTCTAAAATGACGTGAGTAGTTTGAAGTTACAGATGCACCTCATAAACACTCGGGGTTCAAGCAGAATTGATAACAAGACTAATTGCTTGGCGAGTAATGAGAGTAAGTCACGTTTCTTGATATTCCTGAAGCAATTCCGAAATTCTCGTTTTTCCCAGACTCTCATATTTTTCATTGGCTTCAAACCTGGCATTAGCAGAGGTGTGTCATGAACGTGAAGATCATGTTTCTTTATATCCTCAAAACATAATTCTTGAGTTTTCCAGACTCGCATAATTTTGAATATCACATTAGCAGCTCTAAGCTATTGACGCGTCCCATAACCACTGGAGGTTTCTACGAAAATGATTGCGCGGTTAATGCCCCACGTAAAGGGCGTAAAGGTCACGTTTCTTCAACATCGTGAATAAGATTAAAAATTTTCATTTTTCTCAGAGTCTCTAAATCATCATCTCTAAATCAACGTCCGCAGTTTCTAGCTATGGATTCGTCCAGTAAACATCAGAGGATTCTATAGAATTGAATGCACGGCTGCAGACCGGCATAAGGGTCGCTTTTCTTTAACATCTTAAAAAAGATCCAAAATTGCTTTTTTCAGTTACATAATCATGATTCTTCTAAACTGACGGTCAGCAGTTTCAAGCGAATAAAGCGTCCAATAAACATCGAAGGATTACAGAATTGAATGCACGGCTGGTGACCGGCATAAAGGGCGTAAAAGTGACATTTCTTTATCATCTTAAAAATATGCAGTCAAAAACATTGACTGAGTACTTCAACGCATTGATATAAATCTGTTTATGTTCTAGGCACATACAGACTGTTAGCATTATAAGTGAAAAGTGAAATGTGAGACATGCATGATTTCAAAAATTTTGAGCACCGTAAAAAATGTTTTGACTGCGCTCCAAAATGACCGAAAACTCCGAAAACCGAGAATTTGTTTTCTTTAACTCTTAACCAC